ATGTTTTGACTAGATTTCCAAAGTCTTGTCGGATTCGCGAATTGGATTGTATTATCGCTCTGGTTTTTTCCGTGTATGCCCGTGAGTTATCGAACCGCGGTTGTGTGGAGTTTATCTGTGGTACTTTTAGCAACACTTTATCAGGATGTTTTCAAACGTTCCAGTTCACCTGATGCCCTAGGCACCATATTGCGTGTCTGTAATAGAAATCGTTTTCACATTTCAAACGGACAGACTATGTGACGTGCTGACTGAAAGACCTTTGGAAAAGGAGAAACACACGTGCGCCAGTCGTGTTGTATTCCGACAAAGTGTAGATTTCCACGTGGCACCCAAACTTCATCTTTTATCACTGTGGAATGTAAGACACATTTTCCCTCACATCGGTACTCAGTCATCGCATTCGGTCTCTGTATAACGCTCGAGTGTAATTCCTTTTAAATGTCTGCCTTTCTGGAAACATTTCAATCCGTGCTCGTTCATCCCCAGGTTACTACTAACTCTTGTGACGTCTAAGTTGCAATCTTTTGTTACCGGGCAGTGGTTAAGGTCATCGAAACAGTGATCCGGAAGACCTGGGTTCGAACCACTGTACAGAGGCTACATCTCACCCGGTGGATGAATCACGGATGAAGTGTCAGCTTGCATACAGAAGGCTCGATTGGTATTTGCCAATTTGAGACATCCGTGGCGCTGTCGTGACATCCGGTTGTCTGTTTAGGGTCGTGTGTATATTTCGGCAGTTCGGCCAGTTCTGCTATTCGGCGCAGAATCTTGGTCATTAAGAAAACAGGATAAGGACAGACTGTCATCGTTTGAGCACCGCTGTCTACACAGCATTGCACGAATCTGGTGGTGCAACCGGACGAGCAATGCTGAGGTTAGGATCAGAGTTTTAGGCAACCGCGGTCGCCCACTGGAGCAAGTGGTCGATCTCCAAAGATTGCGTTGGTTGGGGCGTTTGTTGCGCTCCCTTGCTGGAGACCCCGGGATCATGGTTACCGGTGGTTAGTGTGATATGACTGAGTGTTGCAAACAGTGGCGATCATGCATCTTTTCATTGTCCTTGCAACATTAGTCCAAGTGAATTCTGTATCTTCTCTCTGGCTCTGCTCTCATTATTCCAATCTTAATTCTGCTCTTTTATCCAAATGGGCAGTCATGAAATACCAACGAAAATTGTCGCACGATAGTGCATGGTCAATGGTTGTGAAAACTGAAACCATCACCCGCAGGTCTTCTATTAACTGTTCAATCCGTTTGATTAAAATTCCGTCCCCTTAAGAGACTTGAACCATGGAGCGAACGCATGCACCAACGAAATAACCTTAATAGTGCACGGAAAATAGACAATTCCTAAATGATTCTTATATATGGAGTTTAACAATTAACTGATCCAGACACATCGAAATTCCAGCGAGATGACTGTCAAGAGTGGCGGTCCATTCAAGATTTGATTGGATATCGTCTAGTTTAGACTATAACAGTTAACCGTCTCCTCTGTTCTCCTAACTACCGCGGAGACGACCCGAGAATTCGGAAAGTAACACTGGGAGCACCAGAATTGGCTACGACTGTCCTACAGTCGTGGTAAGATAGCAAGATCAAGGGGCCGTCAGAACTGCGTGTGAGACCGATGCACAACTCTCGGACCGAAAAGTTGTTCTCAGGCAGAAAATATCGCCTCCATAAATTCTGGGTTCCCACGAACTTTCTGGTCCTTCCAGCAACTGGTTGACCAGACCCAACAAACTCTTCCCCCAAAAATCTTCCTCTAGCCCAACACGATACAGTCGGCTCAACGAACTCTTTGCACTTCGAGGTTCTGGTCCGCGATCAACCGCATTATTTCTCTACTAATTCCCAGGGGTTCCCCAGCAAATTCTCATTGGTGGAATCCAGTTCTCAANAATGGGACATTATTTCAGTTGCCGAAACTTGACTGACAACCGATATCATGGACTCAGAATTACGCTTACCCAGCATGATTCTGCTCACACGCGATCGACATAAAAAGAGTGGTGGTGTGCTACTCTACTTTAGCAGCAAACTACGATGCGGGGTAATTGGTTTTCCTGCTGCGGCTTTTGACTCATTGTGGTGCAAAGTGCGACTGTCGTAACGCGATATTGCCTTGATCGGTGTGGTGTACCGCTCTCCTTCATCCACAGATTTAGCCAATGAGACACTACTGCAAATCATGTATCATATTCTGTCACTGGAGTTAACGCATTTCCTCATTATGGGTGACTTCAATTGCCCAAACCTGGCAAAATCAATGACGTCTCTTTTGGTGGTAGGTAGCTCTGCTGTCGCCCGCTTCAATACCACGCCTAACCCATCGGGGCCTTATGTAGTTCGTCACTCCAAGTTCCGGGGTTTAGGTTGCCGATTTCAACCACTGAACAGCAGGTCCTCGTGACTATCGGACTTTCCCCGTCTGCTGTTCATCACACCTAGGTGTGTAATAAAAAATTAAAACAAACCGCTTGACAAGAAACTCGCTCAGTATATTGAATTCTATCTACTTAACAGTTTTTTGAATCAGTCAACGAGGTTTGGAGCCAACCAGTCTTCATCGATTTCGAACTTTTTATTGACTAACGAGTAAATGATTTCCACTGCAATTCCATTAAGGCGTAGCGACCACGCTGTATTGACCTTTGACTACATTTGCTATGCATCCGTTTGCGAAAACGAGTATTGGAAAATTTGAACGTATGCTGTTCTCACGGTTGTTATCAGCCTATGTTGGACCTCACGTAGAGTATGCAATTCAAGCGTGGAATCTAAGACTGCAACAGGATTGTAAGATTCTGTAACGTCCTCAAAGAATGGCCACCAAAATGATGAAGGCACTGCATTCCAAGACTTACGTGGAAAGTCTGGAATCATTGGGGCTGTACTCCGCATAGTGTCGCCGAATTCGAGGGGACTTGCCTTGGTGCATCAAATAATGCAGAACCCTGATCACCCATGTTGTTCACTGTTCGCCCAACACTCACCCGAGGGGCACTCATTCAAATTAGTGCTTCAAAATGTCGAATCGATTGCCGAGGTCATTCATTTATTCTCAGAGTGTGCACCATTTGGAATTCTCTACCACCCCACGTTGTTTCTTTGCCCACAATTTATTCTTTCAAGCAAAAATCGGATGAAACTTTGACAAGTCTTGAATTTGTACATCCGTAGCAGTCTACGAATCAAAGATAATTTGTTACTTTCCTCATCCTTCTAAGAACCATAAATCGATCCATTTGCGCTGAGCTGTATGGATCAAGAAAAGCAACCGCTTGTATTTCCATAGTCAGTTATTTCCCATAGTTAAACTTTGACTTTAAATGTGACTTTGGTCGAACAGTAAAAGCCATTCCTATTCACTATTATTTTAAGTCATCCTGCTTGTGATGACCTGGTTGAAAAATTGAAGTGAAATGCTTTTCTGCCTTTGTATTGATTAATAGGGCGAATAAGAATGACATTTAGAGGGAATAATGGTCTAAATGATTGTAAGCAGGGCAGTTGTGCACTGCACGAGTTTATAATTCCCATTGATCAATTAGACATTTTGGGATTCCTGGTCGTTGCTGCTCACTGCATGTTCTTCCTCCATCGGACCGGCCTCTTCTGCTTTGGGTATTGATTGCTCAGTGGTTTTCTCAACCCCCTTTTTAGCCGAGTGCTCTTCATTTCTCAGGGTTATTTCAGCATTGTCCAAAAGGCGACTGTAGGGTAGAGTACCGGTCAGTTCGGGATCTAACGAGGTAAGTAATTCGTAAATCTGCTCATCTGTCAAATGCACACCAGTGCCTTCGTGAAGAATTTGTCGAAACACTGGTGCGTTCACGCGGCCCTGTCCGTCATGATCCGCTTTTTGCATGGAGCGTCGCATCTTGTTCCAAGCAAGATGAGGGATCTGCAGGAGGAATGTGTTTGGAAACAGGCAAAACTGACGAAGCTTCTATCACGTCGCAAAATTACACATAGCTTTAATAGAATAGAGATGTTATTCCGGATTCCGGGAATCTTATCATGATAGTGGCCTTAATTTGAAAACTTGAATTTCATTTATCACATATCAATAGCCAATAAAATACTTTTATTGTGCATGTTACATTGGTAATAACACAGTGATGTCGGTAGAGGATTGTATTCGTCCACGTTTCAGTTACCGTGGGTAACCCTTCACAGGCAGGTTTTACAGTCAAATGACTGGGAGGAACGGATCATACTAGGGCGTTGGTGTTATCCCCTATGTGAAAAAATCTGTTGCATGAATTAATCCCAAGTGTGTTCTACAGTTCAGATTAATGTACTCGCAAAATACAACATAAGCCCATACACTTATTTTGTGTTAGTTTCTCAATAACTTATTTTCGCTGATGCCTTTATTGCTTTCCTTTTCCAAATAATCCCATTGCTGTAATCAGCACACAAGTGGTAGGAGTAGATTGTTTGGTCTGACCTCTCCCTCTTGTCTGTTTGGGGTTCTGATTTTAACAATTCGAAATATGTAAAATTTGTAGCTAGTTTAACAATCTGGAGATCACGTTTCTAACCATCCTCCTCCCCCTTCGCTCATATTTGGAGCTAAGCTGTATCAGACTCCTTGTTCTGGTTCATGTAAACCTATATGTTTACTTTGGATGGCACAGAACAAACGAAGCGTGAGCGTAAAAGCTAGGAACTATTAAATAGCTGTTTCAAACTGATTGGATCTCATCAGCGGTGGGAATCAGTTTCAGTTCAGTTTTCACAACCATTGACCATGTACTTTCGTGCGCCGGTTTTGGTTGCTATCTTTGGTTGCCCATTCGGATAAAAGAGCGA